CCAGGCTATAAAATTTCAATTATAGAAGGTGAATAAAACCCAACAGAAATGGCTGCCACTGAGGAGTGAGCAGAAGGCTTGGTTTTGCTCCAGGCTACAAAGTTTCAATTGTAGAAGATAAATATATCCCAGATACCAGGGCCTTGGCTTAGGTCGCTGGGGGGCATGGCCGGCCTGCAAACCACCACAGGCCCCTCACCCAAGGCGTCCCACGCTCTAAGGGAAACCCTATGCTGATCCGGGACACCTTCAGGGCAAACCAGCTGGTCCCCATCCATGCACCAGGCCTCTAGCTTATCTAATAAAAGAGTAATATGCAGATTGACCATCACTCCAACATACAAGATGGCTGCCCCATGTGGTCAAAGATCCCGCCCCCATGTGGACACAAGATTGCCACCACAAAATGGTCAGCAGGATACGGCAGTTGGGAGGCACCAGGCCTGTAAGGCAAGAAGGCGATCAAACCTGCTGGGGAGGGCAGTTAGGGGTGACCAGGCCAGCAGAGGAGGGAAGTTGAGGGCAAACAGGATGGCAGGGGAGCAATTAGACATCAATCAGGTTGTCATTGGAGTGGTTAGGGGGTGATCAGGCTGGCAGGCTGAAGTGGTTAGGGTCAATCAGGAAGGCAGGCAGGTAAGCAGTTGAGAGCCATCAGTCCTGGATTGTGAGAGGAATGTCTGACTGCTGGTTTAGGCCTGATCCCACTGGAGGGGTCCCAGATTTGGAGGGTGCAGGCTGGGCTGAGGGACTACCCCTGCCCCACCCCAGTGCACAAATTTCATGCACTGGGTCTCTTGTTATGTAGGATAAAAACACAAATATAATTAGATCAGGTCCAAATGTGCCAAGCAAATGAGTGATCTGACCAATGTGATTTTTAGGTACTGTAGAGAGCCATTCTGGATCATTCAGATACCATGAGCTGTCTATTCCTAAGTTGTTTGATTGAAGTATCCAAAATCTGCATGTCTGAAAACCTGACCTTATGGTTTAGCTGAGTTGGGCTTTTGAAACATACCAGTTTGCAAAAGACTGGAAATATAAAGTCCTTGGTGAGACTTCTATTTGTTACTGAGCATTTTTGGGACTGTTGTGCTAAATCTGAGCTGGCGTGTTATTAACCTTTTCAAATTAGGCATTTAGTAGGCTGAGCTGAATCTTTTCTTAATTTGCACATTAGGGTTTGTCAGAACAGCTGGCACTATGCTGGGATATTAGTTGAGACCTTTGATTTACATTGTCCAAGAGTAACCATATAAACTGCTTTTGGAGAGGATGACCTAATTGGTGCAAATATAGTAAACTTTATTAATAGGACTAATACCAACACCAATAACTACTATTTATTGAGTGCTTACTATGTTCTGGGTACTGCCAGGTCTCTTCAGTCATTTAACACTTTATACAACCTTGTGAGGTTTAATCCCCCAATTTCGTAGATAAGAAAACTCAAGGGATTAAGTGACTTGCCCTAAATTACACAATTAGTAAGCAGTAAAACTTAGCTTTGTGCCTAGACAATCTAGATGCAGGATCTCTGTGCTTATCACTTTGCAACTCTGCCTCCATAAATGTATCAGATCACAAAGAAGAGCTTCCACCTTCTCAGGTGAAGGTGTCACTTCTTGAATTGTGACACAGACTTCAGGGGAGCAGGAGGTCATGGTACTCAAGGGACGAAAGCAACCCTTCACCTTCACTCCCACCCAACCACAGGCAACCTTGAGGTTCCTATAAACGTGTGTATGTATTTTTGTTTACGTTTAACATGTTTGTGATAAGATTTACGATAAGGTTTCAATATGCTGATGATTAGGTGCTGACATATGTGCTAAGAACAGAGCCATAAATGTGTAGGGTGGGGTCTTCCGTAAGGGACTAGGACATGCTAGCTGTCAGTCACTTGGAGGAGAGCTGTGATAGGCCCAGAACACAGATAGGATTCTTAGCTGGGTGGCAGACTGGAATCTAGCTCCTGGTCCTGATCACCAAGGAGCTAGTAAGTGGGTCTGTGTGGCAAGCCAGAATGCAGTTCTCTCTTCACATGGGAGACAAAGGGCAGAGAGGGCAGGCCTCAGGCAGGAAAGATTGGCTTCCTGGGGTTTGTGTCTCTCTTACTTATGCTTCTTTCCCCTTTGTCCTTCTTGAGTGTTTGGGAAAGGCCTTTTGAAAGTCCCAGAATATCTCATTTGTCTCAGAGAGGAAGTGTTTAAAAATAAATTGGGACATAGAACACAGTAGGGTGGCAATGATGGTGGTGATAATGAAGGAAGAGAATTCAGAGGGGAGCGAGGGAGGAGTGGAGAAGGAAGCTTCTGTGGCCAGCTATCCTCCCTCACTCCAGGTTCTGCTGCCAAACCTCGAAGGTTCTGGCTGGTGCTTTAGTTTGGAGGTAGGACTCCTGTATGCCTTGTACTGGCGTTGGAGGTGTTGGGAAATGGCCTGCATGACAGCTAGTTTTCTACCACAATTAACTTTGAGAAAAGTGAAGACCGTCCATGGTTTCTCTCTTCCTTCTTTTAAAAATACAAGTGAGCAAATATGGAGATCTACTTTGTTGGGTTGCCAACGCACATATATTTGCAGGTGTCCATTATGCAGGGTGGAGGAAATGCTATGTATATATTGATTTTTTAAAGCTAAAAAACAGTCCTCTGCCAAACCCCATTCCTGGCTCTCGATAGTATCATCTTAAGAGTTTTACAGAAATTGTCCTGAAGCCTCTAAAGCTGCAGGGGGGGGAGAGGGGAGGGAGTAGGGTGGGAGAAGGAAACAGAAAAGAAGCAACTGCCTGGTGAAACAACTGGGAGCTGAAGCAGGCATGCCACTTTCCTCTCAAGAGCCCTCACCCTCAACCCTCTGTCCTTTCCCGGCACATCTATTTATTCTTCAAAAAGTGCCTTTTCAGTTTCTGTAAACACTTTACTCTGGGATGCAAAGAACCGCATGAGGTATTGATGTCAAGTAGCTCTAACACCACACTGACTCCTAAGGAGATTCCTTCAGAGGTACAAACTCAGCGGAGAGAAGGAAGCTTCATCACTCTCTTGGGGAGACACACACAGAAGCATAACTTCGTCTTCCCCGTCAGGACAGCCTCAGAACCGGAAGCCTGTAACCTGCTTGGCTCTGACCTCCACCCAAGTGTGCGGGATGGAGATGGGGCAGCACCCTGCTCTCCAAGCCACCCTCTACCCTTACCCTTCTCATTCTGGCAGTGAACAAGGTATTATTCCCATCCCTGGAATAGCAGGGTGGAACTCTAAAATAGGTAAGAAAAATATAAAATCTTGAGCTCCTTAGGAGGGGAAAATGTCACAATACACTGCCTAGTAGGGTTCATTCCGGTTTTGCCAACTGCCAGTGCTGTTAAAAAAAATTATATATATATATATATATATATATATATATATATATATATATATATATGATATTGTAAATATATAATATTTATAAATATTATATTATAAATATTATATTATATATTATATATAAATATAATAAAAAGACAAGTAAAATAAAATTAGCAGACAAACCTTCTTACTAGCTCTACAGTCTCACTCAAGGTTCTCTGCGTCTCCCTCGAGCCTCATGAAAGGATTTCTAGCAAGGAGAAAGCAAAGGCACCCTTCGTGTCACTTGGTAAACATCTCTTGGTCAGAGGATCCCGGATATTGTCACCAGGGCAGTCTTGGGGCTGGATGCCCAGTTACACCTGCTGGATCCTGGCGCTCCCAGCCCGGCCTAGGGCTGCGCAGCTACAGTCTCAGAGACTGTTTCGGGTCTGTCTGCAGACGAGTCTCCAAACGGTTCAGATGCCAGAGGGAAAAGGGTTTTCTCAGGGGCACAGCAAGTAGAGGAAAAATGCACGGTACAACCTCATGTCGGGAAACTTTTCCTCACAACCCTGTTATCCTTTAAGAGCTGCCAGGAAACCCTAGCTTCTTTTCAAGTGACTGTAGCGAGTGGTGTCCACAATGACAGCAACCCAAGCAATTCAGGAAGAAAACCATACGTGGACGACCAGCAGGAGTCAAACTGGCGTGTGTCTGTGACTTTGCAACATTCTTATCTAAACCTGCCAAGGTCCGGCCTTGTCCATACTCAGGTGTCCCCTGTCGGACTGCATTTTCTGCAAAAGCCGGATATCCCAACTCCGGACTTTGCACCTCCCTCAGCTCCCCACCACCCCTCAAGTCCAGCTCAGCCCCGCTCCTCCCTCTCCAGCCTCCTGATGTGGGTCCTCTCCAGACCCAGAGGCGCTGGGGGGGAAGCCTTCCCGGGCAGTGCGTTTATGTCCTGTGTGTCAGGGAGAGGGGGTGAAACGGGGGATGCTAGTTTTCAGCTACATTAACAGTTTCTGCCACACCACGCAGTTTTAGAGGTCCTGGACCACTGGGCAAAACTGCAAACCCCATTGGTGAGCACGAGCCTGAACCCATCAGGGCAGCTTCCCTGGGACTCGAATGCAGTATCATCATCCGAGGCAGGGAGGACCAGAAACCGCCACCTCTCCGCGAACGCAAACCAGCCTGGCGGGGCGCGCAGCCCCTGCTTAAACCCTTCCCGGTGGACTTCCACTTTGCACTCCCCTCCCATTTCCGCCCCCCCCCCAGCCCCTCACTTCTTCCGTTGTCCATCCCTCCCAGGGTCCAACCGCACCGAGAAGCGCAGGACAGGCTGGGCTTGCGGAGCGCAGAAGCCGCAAGGAGCGGTCAGCATTGCCCACCCGCGACCCAAACGCGCCGCGCAGCCACCTGTTCTCCAAACTCAGCCGGAGTTTGTGGGGCGCGGGCTGCGGCCGGAGGGACCCAGCCCCCCGCCTCGGTCCGGCTGGGTTCAGGGTCTCCAAAAGGCGCGCCTCACCCCGAGCCCCAGGGCGCACAGCTCTTGGCACAACCTGCCAGGAGGCTCCCATTTCTCAGCCTCCCTGCTCCAGCCCCTACCCTGGCGCCAGCCGCCGGGCCCCCCGGGAACACTGCGCCCCCCGAAAGTACCTGCGGAGAAGACGCAGAGAGCGAAGAGAGTCTGGCAGATCATGGTATCCCGGTGCTGGGTGCCGAGTCCGGCGCGGGCAGCGGGAGAGTTTGTGGAGACTGACGGAGCGCACCGGGCGCCCGCGGTTCCTCCTCTGCCGGCGGCAGGAGCCTGAGGCCCGGGAGGTAACTGCGGCGGCGGCGGCGGCGGCGGGGAAGCCAGGCGAACGCGGCACGGCTCAGCTCCTTCAGCTGCGTGTCCTCTGGCGCCCAGTGAGCTTCTGCTCCATCCCGGCTGCGGGAGCTGGGACCGCCTCCGCCGCCCGACAGTGCCAAACCCCTCCCACCCGGGTCCGCGGCACCACCGGGCCACCCCGGCCTTCCCTCTCCCGGCGCTGCATCCCGGGAGTCCAGCCCAGGGCGGCCTCTGCTGGACAGTCAGGGCTGGGGACCCGCGTTTGGACTGGGTTCTTGGAAGGTTTAGTGTCTGGCTCTGTGTTGGGGAGTAGGGGATGCAAAGATGTGTGAGCAGATCTTTGCCCTCAGGAATTTATCTCAGGTTTTTGTTGTTGTTGTTTTGTTTTTACAATAGCTCACAGTCTTTATTTTTAAAAATATATATTTTATTGATTTTCCACAGAGAGAAAGGGAGAGGGATAGAGAGCGAGAAACATCCATGAGAGAGGAACATGGACCAGCTGCCTCCCGCACACCCGGACTGGGGATGTGCCCGCAACCAATGTACATGGCCTTGACTGGAATCAAACCTGGGACCTCTCAGTCTGCAGGTCGACGCTCTACCCCTGAGCCAAACCGGTTTAGGCAAGAGCTTACAGTCTTTAAACAGATGATCATATGTCATGTTAAGCCTTACTTCCAAGAGCCAAACTCACCATTAGAAAAGCACACACATTTCTTTCCACCCTTTCTCCAAACGTTCCTGCCTGCATATTAAACCCTTGCACACATTCAAGACCACTGCACTTCCTGGTACCTGAGCCAGGATGTCTGCTGCTTTATTTAGCTTCTTACTGGAAGAAATGGGACTAATGTCAGGTAACATTGATCAAGGCATTACTGAGCGAGACATAAGACTAGGTGTTGTACCATGACTCCTTCTAACAACCCTATGACATAATAATAATATTTATAATAATAATAATAATAATAATAATAATAAAACCAAGGCTCAGGGAAGTAATGTGCTCAATGTTGCACAGCTGGTAGGGGCAGTGATAGTAAAGGCTAACATTTCTTGAGTATCTGCTGCGTAGTTGACAATGGTTTTCACCAAGTCGAGTTCTCTCAGCAGTACTTTCAGGTGGGCACTGCTATAGCTTCACTTTCGGGGGAGGAAATGGAAACACAGAGAGATTTATGTACTTGTCCAGGGTCTCACAACTAGTAATGGTACCGATAAGATGCCTGGCAAACATGCTGGGTTACGCCCTGTACTCTACTCCTTCAAAGTCCCCCAAGTTTTGTGTGTAAATACTGATCAAAGCTGACCTTTCATGTAAGCCTCCACTTTCTCAAACTCACTTATTTCTCACACCTCTGTCTGACCAGATGGCGGGTCATCACCTGATATCTATGTGGCTATGAGTGTGGTGGTGGTCTAGTGACTGGATGTAGGAAGCTGCAGGAATTAATGAGCCTTCCAAAAGAACTGATTTGTTCAGGACCATTAGCAGCGCTGGAGAATGGCTTTGTTTTCTTGTGACTTCTTCCTCACATACCAGAGACTCAGGTTTTACCTTTTCCCCTTTTTGGAGCCTCGTTGCTTTATCTGTGACAAGGTCAATTTCTCTAGCTGACAACCACCTGTAGAACTTGTCATGCTTTTACAACCAGGAGGAAAAACTGGACTCAGAGTTTCCTTTTGTTTTTGGTAAATTTATTGATTCGTTTTGGAATGAGAAGTGAAATATATTAGCACAAACAGTGCCCATCTCCCTTCCTCCTTCCTGGCCAGAGAAACTGCAAATTCAATTTGTTAAATACGTTCTCTGAATGCTTTTGACCGGAGGTCTTCCTGGCTTCTGATGTAATCTATGTGATTATGAAGAATTGCTGCATCTGGGCTGTGGTTGTCATGGAGTCAGGGACCACGCACAGATGGGTTTTTGCAGGGCTGTTCCATAAGGAGCTGATGCCTTTAACTGGGAACATGTAGTAAGTGACTCTATGACAGAAATAAAGATTTTTCAAAACCATAGAAAAAATGATTCAGTTGAAATTCAACAAAATGTTAACGAAGTCCCTATGGAGTACAAAGCATGTGTGAATCTGACTGTGATATGTAAGATGATTATTTGGTACCCAAAGGATGGTGATGCCCACATACTAATCAGTTAAAATGTCCAAGGTTTGTCATTGTATGTAAAAATAGAGTTGAAATAATTTCTTTACAAAATCATTTACTTTTTATTTTATTTTTTGTTAATCCTCACCTGAGGATAAGTTTTCCCACTGATTTTTAGAGAGAGTGAAAGGGAGGGAGGAAGGGGCGGGGAAAGAGAGAGAAGGAGAGAGGGAGAGACAGAGAAACAGAGAGAAACATAGATGTGACATCCATTGGTTGCCTCCTGAATGTGCCCAACTGGGGACAGGATTGAACCTGCAACCCAAGTATGACCCCTTGACTGGGAATCAAACCCATGACCCTTTGGTGCTTGGGCTAATGCTATAACCATTTAGCAACACTTGCCAGGACTAAAATAATTTATCTTTATTAGTAATGAAATCTTTTAACATATCAATTTAGTGAAAACACATTTGATCACCCACTAGGTACCAGATCCTATGCTAGACTGTGGGAACGTAATAAGTTGTATAGTCAGGGTAGGCTTGGTTATCCTGCTATAATAAAACACCCTAAAATCTCAGGGGCTTAAGCAATACTGGTTTATTTCTAGCTCATCAACGTCTTCTTCTCAGAGTAGCTGTTCTCTACGTCAGGGGTCAGGGTTGTACCTCCAGGTAGAAACCTGCTTCCACAGTCACCAAGATAGGGAAAAGGAGAAGTGGAGAGTCAGTGCAACATTTAAATCTTTCAACAGGAAGTGTCTACTCATATTTCATTGGCTAATGCAAGTCAGTGGTCATGCTCAGCTTCAAGAAATCAGGGAAGCACAATCTCCTTGCGTGCTCAGAAGGAAAGGAGAGCTGATAGCCATGGACAGCTGTGGGTGTGCCACGGTGGTTAATTGTCTCTGTCATTAGGAAACTTATATTCTAGTAATGGGGAGTCAAAGATTGAATGAGCGATCTCAAAAATAGATGCAGTCATTTATGGTGTATGATATGAATAATAATACCCACAAACATTTATTGAGATTTAGCTATGTGTGAGGAAATTATTCCAAGCATTTTATGTAATCTGTTTAAACTTTGCACTCTAGAAAGTTATCCCAATTTTATTTAAAAAAAAAAAACCTACAAAATCCACACAAGAAAAAACACATGAGAGATACTTAAAGAGAGTTTAAGTCTGAAGGAAACCAAAAGATACTATGACACACTGGGTTATGCCTTGTACTCTACTCCTTCAAAGTCACCCTTTATGAGATCTTATAGGGTGACTTGCACACCTCCATGAGGTCAGGGATGGAATTTGCATGCAACCCGTTAGTCAATCCTTACAGCAAAAGCAGGTGTCTTTACAGAATCCTCTTGGTTCTTTTGTAATGTGCCACTGGGATAAAATCTAAAATACACCTGCCTTTTACTGACTTCCACTTTTTTTTTCTATTACTGTTAAAATGAATTTCTAGTGTTGGAGACTTTCAACACCTTCAAAAATTTTGACACCCTTATTGACTTAATTTTTGACATCCTGAATTATTATAATTTAGATAATGTTATGTAATATATGTTAGATAATATAGAGGCATTAGCCTTGAACTCTGACTTTCATTGTGGCCTAAGAGATGACAGAATACCATGGTTGAGAGAGCTGGGTGAGGCAGTAGTGCAGTGGTTAGGGTTGGGTTCTGAGGTCTAGCCCATGGCCCCCAAAGGCTGGATTCTAATCTGCCCTCTGCCATCTCACCAAATGACTCTGCTGTCTAACTTGATATCTCTGTGCCTCCGTTTTGTCCTGGCCTTATTGGGAAGATTAAATGGATTACACATGTGAAAAACTTGGCATAGTCTAACTGCCAATAAATGTTAGCTGTTATTAGAGAAGAAACTTTGGGGTACATTTAAAAAATTTTTTTTTATCTATATTACAAGGAGAAAGCACTTATGCCGGTGGCAGCTACTTTATACACAGATCTGTAACTTGGGCTCTGCCCTCAGTAATTCCACTCCTGCTACAACTGAGCTGCAGGAGAGAGCTCTAAACTGTCTCTGACAGGGCCTCCCCTGCTCCCACCCCGCCCCGGCCGCTCCCACCAGCCTCTGCCCAAAGACAGGAAAGCAGCAGAGTAGACGCTGGTTTATTTCACCTAGGTTTCATTCCTCTTCCCAAGCAGAGTTGCAAACATGTCTTTATAGGTTCTGCTACACTTCCTCACATCACTTTGCTTTTCTCTTCTTAACTCCGAATCCCTCTTTTTAAAAATATGATTGGCAAATGGTATTTAAAACAGTTATGCAATATGTGCAAAAAAAGGAGAGGTAAATTTGGAACTTTGCCAAGAAATATTTGCTCAAACAAGGGTAGTTTTAATAGGGCATGATGAAATATGATTGTTTTTCTTATTTAAATAAAGTCGTTTGGTGCTGCATGAGCTCTTTGAGGACATTTAACTGCAGGTCACTAATTTTTATTTTAATTAAGGAGAAAGCCCTGATACTATTTCAGGAAGAAAGAAGAAAGAAACAGGCTTCTGGAGGTAATGCACATAATGAAACCTCTTATTTAAACAAGCCTAGGGTCTGATTGGGTTGATACTGTACACCTGTGTTGTCCAGAGAACCAACACACGTGTCACATATATAACTTAAACATTTCTAGAAGTCTTATTTTTAAAAAGGAGAACAGATGAATTTAATTAAATTAATTATGCAAAGCATATTTAACAATGTTTTATTTAACCCAGTATATCTAAAATA